ATAATAATCATAATAATAAAGGGCAAAGATGTAAAAAGGTAATCCTCAGTACAGATTGTTAAGAAAACACACAAAATGTGTTTAATCTCACATTTAATGAGAAAAATGTAAATTAAAATAATAAGGTGACATTCTTGCCCTTCAAATTATCCATAATTGAAATGACTTATAATGTGTGTTAATAAGGGTATGGAAGGCTAGATATTATACTTATGCTGTATTGATGGGAATTTATGTTGGTGTAGTTTTTAAAAAATTATTGTGGTATGAAATACATAAAATTTACCATTTGAACCATTTTTAAGTGTACAGTTCACTGTCATTAGAACATTTAAATTGTTATGCAACCATCACCACTATAACCTCCAGAACTTTTTGTCGTCCCGAACTGGAAGTCCTTATGCATTAAACACCAACTTCTCATTCCCCTCCCCCTATCCCCTGGCAACCTCCATTCTACTTTCTGATTAGTCTAGGTACTTCATATAACTGGTATGATATAGTATTTGTCCTTTTGTGACTGGCTTATTTCACTTATGTCTCCAAGGTTCATCCACATTGTAGCACATGTGTCAGAACTGCCTCTTTTTTTTTTATTTTAAAGAGAACGAGAGAGACAGTGTGTGGTTGCCTCTTCTGTGCCCCCAGCTGGGAACTTGACCCACAAACTAGGCATGTGCCCTGACTGGATATTGAACCTACGACCCTTTGGTTCATGGGCCAGCACTCAACCCACTGACCCACTCCCACCAGGGCAAAATTGCTCTTCCTTTTTAAGGGTGAGTAATATTCCACTGTGTGTAGTATGATCTTTTTGAAGGGCAATTTTGTAGTAATCACAAATTTTAAAATGCCATATTCTTTGATAGAGCAATGAGACATTTACAAGAATGTTCATTGCAGCATTATTTTGACAGTGAAAAATTAAAAACAATCTAAATAATCATCAGTAAGACAGGTGAAGTGTGAGATACCCATACTAAGAAATGCAGGGTGGAGCAAAAGTAGGTTTACAGTTGTGATACACAAAAACATTTTATGCCCTGAAAGAGGCCTGTGTGTGATCCACAGTGCTAGACAGGTACACAGAAGTCATAGCTTGAACAGTATTTCTCAAAAGGTAAGGGATATTCCCCATGGGTGGGTGGCTCAGTTTCTTGGAGCATTGTCCTGTACACCAAAAGGATGCAGGTTTGATCCCTGATTAAGGAACATACTTAAATTGAGGGAAGGTAACCAGTTGATGTTTCTGTCTCCCCTCTGGCCCCATTCTCTTTTAAAAATCAATAAGCATACCTTCAGGTGAGGATAAAAACACGTGAGGGACATTAACAGAAAAGGTTAAAAAAAGTGAAATTGGAAAACACTGGAATAAACATTAAACAAGGTCCTTTAAGGCACAACATCTTGGGGCCATTAATATACTAGTGCGCACTGTTAAGTCTCCAGGAGGAAGGTCACAACTTCCTGAGCCCTTGTGACCACACAGCATCCTTTTTACAGTGGTTACATCTGGAGGACAAAGTTATGGAAACAGCTATTTTAGAAATATCTAAAGGTACATTGTTCCTTCAAAGGAGTTCTGGTAGGTAGGTACTGCATGGTCAGAGGAGTAGGTGCTAGAACAAATTACAAGAGTTTGCTGAGATCTACTAGCTGGAAGTAAACGTCACCACTCAACTTCTGGTAACAGGGGAAAAAATTAAAATTATAAAAGAATAAGGATAGTAATGGGATCAAGAAAGTATAATCTCAAAACTTACTTCCCTTTTTGTATTGTTGCACTAAGTGCTATTACTTTCCCAGAATCAACACCTTATGAGTAGGCTGGGCCTAATTAGAAGGGAGGCATGGCTTGCCCCTTCAGATATGAGGAACGAGCAGAGTAATTAAAATGAAAAATCTCGTGATTCAGGAAGACTCATGAAATGTAGTTTCTAGAGGCCCTCAGAGATGCAGAGAATGAACCAGAGACTCTACCCAGTTTGGGACCAGTTTGACTTCAGGGCAGAAGTACTTGAATGGCTGTCAGGGTTTCTTGTGAACAATGCTGATACTAAGTTGCAAAATGACTTCAGGACTCCTGGAGGACTGTAGGTGACAGATATGAAAATACCTACAATGGAGTTGAAAACATACCTCCCTTCAAAACCTTTTGTCTCCCTTAAGTGACCAATGTTAAACAGGGGTCCACTCTTTTGTATGCCCAGACCAGTAAGTGGAACCCGATTTACACTCAAGTAGTTGTATCTAATTGCTATTATTACATGCAATGTTTTTATATAGAGGGTATGTAATCTTTTAAATTGAATGCACTTAATGTATAATCCACTATTGTTTACTTTTTTCCCATTTCACTAAAACCTGGCAAAAACCATCTTGGAGTGGCATCAGCTACTGGGACTTGCTTTCAGGATGCCAAGCCAAGTATCCTGTTAACACATCTTTGCACACAGGTGCAAGTATTCTTTTAGGAAGTATCACGGGATACAGACGTATTAATGAATTCCTAAGTAGAAAGTAGACAATGAAGATTACAACTGAAGATGGTTAAGTTGCAGCTTGTTCTGCAAATTCTGTGTTCTCAAGACATAATGATGTACAAGTAGTTGTAATAAGCACATGAAATTTGCTCTTTGGAGATAATACAGGCACAAAATAAAATGGGTTTAAAGTAAGTTTGTGTAAGACTGACCCACATGTACTTTGGACATCACCCTAACAAGTCAAAAAGGTCCATCCCATAAGTAACCTTCTATGGCATTGTATGTTTGTAAGGGTGAGGAGGTCCAGGGAGACATTTAAAGGCAGTGAGGGATTTGCACCAGAGGCTGTAACATGTACGTCTCCCCCCTTCCATGGGCTCTTCATAGCATCTGTACCAACACTGCAATTCAGATTCCTGGCTGTTAGATGACGAGCAGCTAGAAAAGGAACTTAAGCTGGATAAGTGATAGGATAAACGAAAAAATTATCAACTCTCCCACCATTCCTAAGTCATCCCAAATAAAAGCTCCACTCCTAATTGTGTTTTCCCATGGCACTGCTGGGCCACAAGTCAGCAGGAACCCAAACTACAACTGGCCTGTTATAGTCAATGCAGAAGGTTTGAGGACAAGATTAACCCACTTCCAAAAACCAATTGAGCCCAGGTTAAAAACACAAGCAGACCCTTTTCCTTGCTCAAATTTCAAGTGTGTGCAGGGTGAATTTGCCAAGACTGAGAAATACCTTTGGAAGAGATCTTGAGAAAAGGCACCAACAGCTGAAACCTCTTTTTCATAAGCTTACAGACCAGACCAATCCGTTAGGCAAGCATGAAGATGTAGTAGAAATAACACAACTGTGCAAGCCCTATTTGCCCTAGCCACCCACTCTCCAGTCAAATGCATTTATTCTTCAGGTTTATTAATCAAGGCATGTACTGAATGTAAAGAAAAATGTGGGGAAAAAAGTGACTCTTAAAACCCAGCTTTATCCTATTGTATATTTAGCTAAAGACCTGCTTAATAAAAGCCCTAGTTTGAGGACATCCTGAAGGGCAAGGAAGCTAATATAACTTAATGGATTTTATGATCTTTTAAGTCCTATGTTGACAGAACACTTGAATCCCAGTTCTTATTTTGCCTCCAAGAACTAAGCCTTGACCAAATCAACTTGAAGTGGTAGAATTGAGGTGCCACCTTCCAATTCAACAATGAAACATATTCCCTTCAGTTTAAGGAAGCCTTTTTAAAGGCTTGGGTTTTTACCACCTCCAAGGAGTTGAAGCATTCATTCACTGTATGGATCTAAAATTTAAGTGTTATCTCCAATGTCCAACTTAAGAAACCCAGAGTTAGCTGTGGCTGGTGTAGCTCAGTGGATTGAGCACAGGCCTGTGAACCAGAGAATCACGGTTCAATTCCCAGTCAGGGCACATGCCTGGGTTGCAGGCTAGTTCCCAACAGAGGATGCAGGAAAGGTAACCATACACTGATATTTCTCCCTCCCCTTCCCCTCTAAAGATAAATGAAATCTAAAAGAAAAAAAAGTACTTCAATTTTTTATGCTCAAATTTAAGACTTCTAAAAATAGATGTTTGAGGAACTACTGTTAAAGCAGAATTCCTAAAATTATGTACCAAGCCATTCCGTGGTATACCTGGAATATCAATGGCACATTTCTAGGCACCTGATACCTTCATCCTCATTTTAATAACATACCCCTGGAGTGAGATACTTATGATTATACCACTGTTAATACCAATAATTTCCCTAAAGTGAGAAAACCAGAGCTTCCAATTTCTCCCTTATACACTCCCCACTCCATTCAGTTTTGTCCCAAGTTGAAAAAAATCACTTTTACTGGTCACACCAGACTGCTTTGTAATGGGGAAAGAGACTAAGAACCTACACAGCACTGTAGTGGTAACTCATATCCAAATATTCTTGGTCCCTCAAAATTCTTCTGATATTGAAGATACACTGCCTACTGTTATTATAACATGACAGTGTAAGAACTGCTTGTATTAGGTTTAGACAAAAATGGAGAATTTCATTTGTTGCTGCAATCTTATCTTTCTCCTCAAAATAACATAAAGCTGTTAAAAGTCATTAAGATCCGACTGCTGTTAGGAACCACCTTCATTTGCTGCCCAACCTACCAGTGCTGGCAATTTGCCTAAGATCAGAACACCCTTTTAGCTGAGTTCTTTCACAATCTTTCCCACCAGCCAGCCTTCTTTCAAATTTGACAAGGGCTCAATTGAGTTTACATACACAGACAGGATTAGGGTTCTACTTCACTACTTTAAATTAAACACTTGCACTAGCCAGCAAGAAAAGCACACTAAACTGGTGATTACAAGACTTAGACAAAGTTCCCATATCTTGGTACACTCAATGTTTACCAAAGTTGAAAGACTTAATTTCTGTCATATTAACAATCTCAAAATTAAAGCCCTTCCTTGAACACCTTTCCCACATCACGTAATTTCATAACAACAGACACCAAGTTACTACCGTGCAATGAAACCTTTATTAACACTTTGAACAGGTTCAGCTATTACTGAAACTGGTAATTTCTAAACTTAAACTGGGAAAAATGGCTAGAATGCAGAACAGTAGCCATCACTGGGGACTATGAATGCCAGAACTGAAGAATTAACAGCCACCCCTTAGACGGAGGACCAGGTGCAGGGTGGACTCTTTCTGGATGTTGTAGTCAGAAAGAGTGCGGCCATCTTCCAGCTGCTTGCCTGCAAAGATGAGCCTCTGCTGGTCAGGGGGGATGCCTTCTTTATCCTGGATCTTGGCCTTCACATTCTCAATGGTGTCACTGGGCTCCACCTCCAGAGTGATGGTCTTGCCGGTCAGGGTCTTCACGAAGATCTGCATACCACCTCTCAGGCGCAGGACCAGGTGCAGGGTGGACTCTTTCTGGATGTTGTAGTCAGAAAGAGTGCGGCCATCTTCCAGCTGCTTGCCTGCAAAGATGAGCCTCTGCTGGTCAGGGGGGATGCCTTCTTTATCCTGGATCTTGGCCTTCACATTCTCAATGGTGTCACTGGGCTCCACCTCCAGAGTGATGGTCTTGCCGGTCAGGGTCTTCACGAAGATCTGCATACCACCTCTCAGGCGCAGGACCAGGTGCAGGGTGGACTCTTTCTGGATGTTGTAGTCAGAAAGAGTGCGGCCATCTTCCAGCTGCTTGCCTGCAAAGATGAGCCTCTGCTGGTCAGGGGGGATGCCTTCTTTATCCTGGATCTTGGCCTTCACATTCTCAATGGTGTCACTGGGCTCCACCTCCAGAGTGATGGTCTTGCCGGTCAGGGTCTTCACGAAGATCTGCATACCACCTCTCAGGCGCAGGACCAGGTGCAGGGTGGACTCCTTCTGGATGTTGTAGTCAGAAAGAGTGCGGCCATCTTCCAGCTGCTTGCCTGCAAAGATGAGCCTCTGCTGGTCAGGGGGGATGCCTTCTTTATCCTGGATCTTGGCCTTCACATTCTCAATGGTGTCACTAGGCTCCACCTCCAGAGTGATGGTCTTGCCGGTCAGGGTCTTCACGAAGATCTGCATACCACCTCTCAGGCGCAGGACCAGGTGCAGGGTGGACTCCTTCTGGATGTTGTAGTCAGAAAGAGTGCGGCCATCTTCCAGCTGCTTGCCTGCAAAGATGAGCCTCTGCTGGTCAGGGGGGATGCCTTCTTTATCCTGGATCTTGGCCTTTACATTCTCAATGGTGTCACTGGGCTCCACCTCCAGAGTGATGGTCTTGCCGGTCAGGGTCTTCACGAAGATCTGCATTTTGACCTACAAAGATCAAAAGGCAAAAAAAACTAGCCTGTCATTCCAAGACTTTCACATTTATTACTTTTACATCCAATCAATTCTCCAAAATGCCTTAAACTACCTGTATCTCTGACTTTTAATTTTTACTAGACTAATAAAAAATTCCTTTAAAAAACATGGCCCTGGCTGGTGTGGCTCAGGGGATTTGAGTGCCAGCCTGCAAACCAAAGGGTTGCCAGTTGAATCTCTGGTCAGGCCACATGCCTTGGCTGCAGACCAGGTTGCCTGTGAAAGGCGATCACGCATTAATATTTCTCTTTCTCTTCTACCTTCAACCCTTTGGTGTAGGGAACCATGCTCCAACCAACTGAACCACACCAGCCAGGGCCAAATACTAAATTCTTTAATCAAGGCTTCAATTTACACTGGTTGAAAGATCAAACGTTTCAGAAATTTACCAGTCAAAACTTTGTTCCTTCACTGTACTACTTTGCAGACCGTAACAATTTCTCCAAAACTTAGGACTAGCACGAATAATGAAAAAAGAAACCCCACAGGGCACGGAAGAGTAAGCACTTCCGTTTAAATAAAGGTGGGGAGCGCCATTTTCTGTACATTGCGATTCCAAATTAAAAGGTCTTTACAAGACGCACTACCTTATTCCCTCCTTGCCCCCCTGAAACACACACGACGGAACCTCCACGGGTGAAGCGTCCGTTAGTCTCGGCGCGCGCACCAAACGCTCCCGTTCTTTACACGTAAACAAAGCCCACTCTTCCGGAAACTCCCCGCGGTGCGTCACGTCGCCTACCCCCGCCCCCCTTAATCCTTTCATAGCGGCCCACCGAGCCACAAGACTTAGCTAGTGACATCTTACTTAGCCCGCCCCCGTCCCCCTACCCTTACCCAAGACTCGAAGGCCCGGAACCAGTACCTGCTAGAGAATGAAAAAAAAAAAAAATTAAATCACGTGGAGTCACTTACAGACAGCAACAACAGCCTTTAACAGTGTCGGTCGCTTCTGAGAGTTCCGGCTACGCAGAACTGAAATTTATGCAACGTCTGTTGCGTAACTCATCACTTCTACGTAGCTGCCATGTCCATGCGCCACTGAAAGTAGTTCGGCCAGCCCCTACCTCCTGCGATGAGTTAGACCTTTCCATCAGGCTCCAAATCCCTCAGAGCCGGAAGAAAGGATCCTAAAAATTCATTTTCCCTCTATACCAGGCTATCCTTTCCCTCCTTTAGGAAAAACTAGGAAAGTTACCAGGCGGATGAATTCGAGTTGAGGGAACCATCCTTGAAAGCACTGGAAACTTCCTTGCGGCGCCGGCGCTGATTGGTGAAGCACATAAAGCGCGCGGCGGCTTGGCTGTCGCTGGGTTCTTGGCTATGAGAGCTGATGTTGCTAAGTGGCTGAATGCGCGTGCGCCTCAGAGGCGTGCTTTCTGGAATGGAGGGTGTTTCCGGCCGGTGAAGGGGGAGGGGGTCTATCGTTCTTGCCACTCAATGCCAAACATCACAGTCTAGTGTTTTAAGGCCTCAGGAAGAGGGAGCAGAGACCCTGCGCGGGGACTTCCCAGGGAAGGCTGCCCTAGTCCCTGTTTAGAGGTGTTCAGAAGCCGGACGGCGTGGCCGGCAGCTGTTTTTCCTGTTGTCTTCGGAGAAGCACAAACCCATTTCTCCCAGATCTCGAAAAACGCGTGCGGCTCACACACTGGGGGTTTTTTATTTTTGCTCTTGGTTATGGATCTTTTATCACGCTTCTTTACAATCAGAGTGCTTTGGTCGTACTCGATCTTCCTAAGATCCCCGAAGAGTGTCAACAGATCTAGACTCTAGTGGTGGCACCCTGTGCGGGACTCCAACTCCCCACCTGGCCTTCAGGCCCAGAGCTGCGTGGCTCCGGCTGCCGGTGACAGGGCGACCGAGCTTAGATGTGGTTCCGGCAAAACCTGCAAGTCCCTTTGCCTCCTTGCTGTTTCTCCAAACTCTGGTAAGGAGAAAGGTTCCTGGTAGGGATCTGAAAACCTTCGAGAAACATGGGGTTTATGTACCAGAAAGTAAATAATATTTCTACCATTAATGTGTTTGTTGTGCGACGCTGAAGGCGGGGTTATCCAGCTAGGACCAGCTGGTTTCCCTGACCTGGCATGTGCCCACTAGTCCCTCCGAGAGATAATCCGAAGAACGTGTGTAAAGCACGTCTGGTTCCCAGACGTCCTGCGTCTGAGTCTTGGAGTTGGGGGTATTTACACCCCCAACCATTGTAAATGACATGCAAATTGCTGTCTTGTAATACCTACCTTCCTAAGTGAGAAGTAGTGTAAAGATTTGCATTAATATAGTTAGGTATCAGAAGAGGTCATTAGTTATTAAATTACAACTTTTCTAAGCATACCATTAAGAAACGATGTCGATAACTGTCCAATATAGACAGATATGTGAGTTAACACCTAGACAACTTTAAGTTAAATTTATAAAAACTTGGTAAGGTCTACTTGAATAAGCAGGAGATCGAAATAAACTTTCTTTAAGATAATTTTTGGAATTCAAGGTAGTTGACAAAATACTAATTTTACAAAGTATGAGTTTTTCACCCAGCAGTGAATCTGAGCTTTTTTTCTCTTAGCTTTTTTCTCCTAGCTTCTCCTGAGTCACACCTGTTGATTGGTAGATTGATCTAGAGTGGACACTCAGGATTGATGATGATGATTTTGCTGGGTGTTACAGCAGTTCCCAGAAGTTAGTCATACAGTTTCCTGGTTTAATATTTTGGCAAAGTGGATCATTTGGTAACCTCAACAAAGCAAAATGTTTTAAGAAAGAAGATATGTGCTGTACAAGAGGAATTTTTTGTGGTCTGTTCATAAATGAAATTTAGTACTATCATTTCTGGTGATAGAAACAAAATCCAGAGGTCAGGAATTTGGTAACCTAGCACAATATTTGACACTGTGCTCAAGTGTTTGTTCAGTGGATGAAGTGCAACATCTCTTTTGTTAAACTGGGGAAAACCCCCACAACTGTATGACAGCCTTAGGGCCTAAATAGTAAAGCAAAAACTACTTAATCTCCATAGGCAAATAGTTTTTGCCTTGGTAGTTCCTTTCAAAGAAACAAAGAGGTATTGATTTTGAGATTTTAAGTGATTTTACTTGGCTAGATGTATTTTTTTAAAGATTTTATGTATTTAGGGAGAGGAGAAGGGAGGGAGAAAGAGGGAGAGAAACACAGATATGAGAAACATTGATTGGTTGCCTCTCACACACTCCAACCGGGGACCTGGCCCACAACCCAGGCATGTGCCCTGACTGGGAATTGAACCTGCAACCTTTCTGTCTGCAGACCAGCACTCAGTCCACTGAGGTGGTGTCAGCTAGGGCTTGACTAGATGTCTTAAAATCTGCGAAGCACCTGGCAGGGTGGCTAAGTTGGACCATCATCCTGTACACCGGAAGGTTGGGATTCCATCCCAGGTCAGGATGTGAGTGGAGCTTTCTCAATCCCTCACCGTTTCCCTTCCTCTCTTTCTAAAGTCAATAAACAAATCCTCCAGTAAAAAACTGAGAAAACTGTGGTTCCAATTACAAATTTGAAATTGTCTTGACATTAGTTGAATTTTAATATTTGGAATTAGTTTGTGGTTTGTCATTTTCTCATTTGTCTAATTATTTCAACAGAATTATGAGACAAATTTATTACCAGCAAATTAGAAACTTTAATTTTGAATGCCCAAATGAACACAGAGCAAAATTCCGTGTTTTCTTTATATTGGGCCTCAAAATTACAAAGTAGCTACCATATTTTTTGGACCATAAGGTGCACCTAGGCTTTAGAGGAGGAAAATAGGGACAAAAATTTTGAAGCAAAAAATGTAGTAAAATATTTAATAACATAGTATTTCACCAATGTAAATGTAAACAGAACTCAACAGCAGCATTAACAACCATTATTCCTCCCAGATTTAGGGGGGTATGTCTTATAGTCTGAAAATATGGTACTTAAAAATATTTTATGAGCCCTGGCTGGTATAGCTCAGTGGATTGAGCACAGGCCTGTGAACCAGAGGATCACGGTTTGATTCCCAGTCAGGGCACATGCCTGGGTTGCAGGCAGGTTCCCTGCAGCCAGTTCCCTGCAGGGGATGCACTAGAAGCAACCATACATTGATGTTTCTCTCCCTCTCTCCTTCCCCTCTAAAGATAAATAAATAAAAATTAAAAAAATTTTTATTGTGAAATATTACAAACATACATGAAAATTGGAGATAAAATAAATACCATAAAATCACCGCCCCACTTTAATAAGGCTTAACATTTTGCTAGTTTGCCTCAGCTTAATGTTTTAGTGTAATAAAAAATACAGTATAAAATTTACCATCTTGCCCTGGCTGGTGTAGTTCAGTGGATTGAGCGCGAGCCTGTGAACCAGACAATTGTGGTTCGATTCCCAGTCAGGGCACATACCTGGGTTGCAGGACGGTTCCCTGCAGGCCAGTTCCCAGCAGGGGACGCACGAAAGGCAACCATACATTGATGTTTCTCTCCCTCTCTCCTTCTCTTCCCCTCTAAAGATAAATAAATAAAATCTTAAAAAAAAAACCAACTTACCATCTTGCCATTTTTAAGTTCAGGAGATGTTAATTGTATTCACAATGTTGATCTCTGGAACTTTTTTATCTTGCAAAACTGAAACTCCATACTACTGAACCACAACTCCCCATTTATTTCTCCCCTTAGTGCCTGATAATCACCATTCTGCTTTCTGTTTCTATGATTTTAACCTTGTATAAGTGGAACCATACAGTATTTGTCTTTTTTGTCATTGGCTTATTTCACGTAGCCTAATGTCTTCAACAGTCATTCATGCATTTGGCAAAATTTCCTCCTTTTCAAAGGCTGACTGATAGTATGGTTTTATATATATATATATATATATATATATATATATATATATATATATATATATCTCTCATTTTGTGTTACCCATCCATCTGTCTGGATATTTGGGTTGCTTCCACCTCTTGGCTATTGCGAATAATGCTGCAGTGAACATGGGTGTGCAAATATCTTTTTAAGATTATGCTTTCAGTTCTCTTGGATATATACTCAGAAGTAGGATCCGTTCTATTTTTAGTCTTTTTAGGAACATCCATACTGTTTCACATAGCAGCTGCACCATTTTACATTCCCAACAGCAATGTACAAGTGTCCCAGTTCTCCACATCCTTACCAACATTTGTTACTTTCTGTTCTTTGTTTATATAGTGGCCATCCTAAGAGTGTGAGATGATATTGTGGTTTTGATTTACATTTCCATAATGATTTATTTTCTATTTTTCAATGATTATAGGTACACAGGAAGTAGTAAAAATAGTAAGAGATTTCATTGTACCCTTCACCCAGTTTCCCCCAATGATAACATCTTACATGACTATAGTAAAATATCAAAACCAGGAAATTAGTGTTGGTATAATCCACAGACCTACTCAGATTTCAACAGTTTTACATGTACTTGTGTATGTGTGTAGTTCTATGCAGTTTTATCACAGGGGTAGACTCACATAACCACTACCATGATCAAGACACAGAGCCGTTTCTTCACCACAAGAATCCCTGTACTATGTCTTTATGGTCACAAGCTTCTCCAAGCCCAGGCAACCACTATCTATTCCAGCATCTTTCTAATTTTGTCATTTTTAAAATGTTATAAAAATGGAATCATACAATGTTTAAACATTGTATAATGTACACATTTAATCATACAATGTATAAACTTTTGATACTAGCTTTTTTAACTCAGCATAATTCTCCTGATATTTGTCCAAGTTGTTGCATAGATTTTCATTCCTTTTTGTTGCTGGTAGCATTCCATAGTATGAATGTACCATAGTTGGTTTATTCATTCACCTGTAGATGGATTTTTGGGATGTTTCCAATTATTGGCTACTGCAAGTAAAGCTGCTACGAAGGTACATGTACACATTTTTTGTGTGAATATGTTTTAATTTCCGTGGAATGAATACCCAGTAGTGTAATTGCTGGGTCATATGGTAAGTATATGGTTAGGTTTTTTAAGAAACTGCCAA